ATACCATGAGGCCAGCGCTTGACCAGGTCAGATGAGCGTCAAAGGTGCTCATTGAGGTCTCCTGACACCACTTTCACAGAGTGTGTGTGTGTGTGTGTGTGTGTGTGTGTGTGTGTGTGTGTGTCGGACAATCGGACAAGAATCGGTGGTCTGACTCCTTTTGCTGATTTGAAATAAAGTAGTATAAAGAGAAATCGAGTCCCGTCCTGTCAATTGATTTTGCGATATCGACCACACGGCCGTCCTACATCTAGAGATAACGGCGTGGTAGAATCTCAGAGAGCAGACTGATAATATTATCTCGCCGGGGTACATAATCCACCAAACCCCAGTTATTAAAAGTCCACCATGCAGTCCTGCACCTCTGTTTGCATTTTACGCTCTCTTGGGAATCTCACATAATGCAGCAGAATGAAAACTAACTCTGGCTTTTTCTTGGCGAGAATGCACGTCAGTAGTGGGAGAAGTGGCGGCTGAAGTGGGGGGACAAAAGGAAGTACAAGTAGCTTCTGCATTCCTCGTACCGTCAGCAGTCCCAAAGGATGAGGAGTGAAGAGCGGTTTCCTTTTGGGTTTTAGACAAACAGCCTCTCAGTGAAGAGGGCAAAGATGAGGCCAAGTTTTCAAACCCAACACAAAGAACCAAGTGAATGTCTTTCACATTAGACATGACAGTTTGCGTTCTCTGGAATACATCAGCTACAACAAGTTGTTGTTTTTTAGTGTGTGTGTGTCCCTGCTGCCATATTCATACACACACACACACAGTAAGTCTTAACCGTACACCATCACTTCTTTCGTTAGCATTCTGTCTTAATCAGCGGCTAAAATATGGTGTGTAGGGTTACGGCAGGCAGGCCCGGGATGGATCCAGAGCAATAAGATAGCAGTAATGGCTCACCATCATTTATGTGAATGTAATAAGTGAATATCTAATAAGCCTGTAAAGGATGCTTAACCCCTGGAGCCGTGGGGTCAGGTACAGAGATAGGCCGAGTAAGCTGATTAACTACGCTCTCTTCTCAAGTTGCGGTCACTGCAGCATTGACCAACTCCTGACCCCCGTTTTGTGGTTAGCGCAGCGTATAGCGCCGCTCCTAAGTTTGGATAAATCCGGTATTTATGGCGTTTGATACCAGCTCGTGCCTGATATGGGAAGGTAATAGGTCATGAATCTCTGTCTGGAGATAATGTAGGAGTTAATGGAACACCGGCTATGCTCCTTTACTCTTCATTTGTCTAAACCGCTCCTAACTGAAATCTACAAGTAGCGCCTCGCACTTAAAGTCCAATATTCAAGAAGATCCTAACGAAAGAATTGTGAGCAGTTTATGGTTCCGAAACAGAAATGCTGATCCGAAAGGATCCAAACGCTCCACGAGACTCTTAAATTGATCCAGTGACTGACTGAGGTTTGGTGATTGATTGACGAGAGGGTAAGTTTTCCCATGTCCCAGGAGATGCGTAAATAAAACCGAGCAGTTGGCTCTAAATGGGATCCCCAGCTGTTTCTCCTGTGATGACGTAGCTTTATCCCCAAACGACAGATGTGGTAACAGACAGGTGAAATGTACTCAAAATGAATGATATATAGGACTTAAAGGCAATCTCTGTCTCTCTCTGCTTCTTTTCACACTAAAGATGGTATGTGAACGCGCACACACACACACACACACACACACACACACACACACACACACACACACACACACACACACAGAGCCGGATCCTAGAGCCATTTTCAGCCAGGGCAGCAGAGTGTGTCCTCATTACCGTCTGAGAGTGTGTAGTCACCACTCAGTCACAGCGCCTGCTGCCAGAGTGGGATTTTCCCCTCTCTTCTCCTCTGACTTCCACATCTTTCCCACCTTAACTTCTCTTGCATATCGCTTCATCTATTTCTCAGACAGAAAATCATTACGAGTCAGGAAAGACAATTTAATGCTTCCACGCTCCCTCATACACCGCCAGTCAAGTCTTTAAAACGCGTATTTCAAATAAAAACATAATCCGTTGTTGCATTTCTAGTGATGTATTTGTTCAGTTGATGACAGCGATCCCAAAGAGGCTAATTGAGGATACTTTTTCTTTTGCGATTGACAAAGGATGATAAAATAGTATTAATCAGTGAAAGTCAGCAGCTAGAGCCGGCATGCTGTAATCTTGTACTTAAAACGGATGTAATTTAACACATGCAGCTGTAATAGGTTGACCTTCCCAGACAAGTCCCATTTCTGTACAAATAATATGCTCTGGTAAAACGAAAGGTAGGCTAGCCTTATTATGACAAATGAAAGATTCTTTTACAGGGAATTTGCACATTACGTAAGTCTACTAAAATATAATTAGCACCGAGAAAATGGAAGAGAGGAAAGAAACCTTGTGATCATTCACGTTTTCCAATGAAATAAAAGCATTGCTTTCTAATCCCTGTCATGCTTGGCTCTCATTTAAAGACTTGTTTACAAAACAAAGGCAGTAAGGTCCATTTCACACTCGCTGAGGTGAGCACTACTGTAGTTAAAAGTTTGCAAAAGTAGCCAAGGATTTCCATCTGCCAGCTGGAGCTCAGAGGAGAAGGGAGAGAAGCCCACACGGGGATATTAGACTCTAATGGTGACCAGATGAACGCGTCCAAACAGCCTCACACGTGGCTCTTTCTGACCGAGGCATTATCCGACTCTCCAGTTGACCAAGTCGAGAGCATAACGAAATGATGCTTTGGGGATATTTGCTGTGCTCTTTCTCCCGGCGGCTATCACAAACGGCCACCTGCTTTCCGCACAACGTCCGCTGGCTGCGAGTCAGTCATTTAGAGCAGGCCGGCGGTGCGCTCAGGTGAGTGCAGCAGAGTAATCGGGAAATGCACGGTCAATGTATTCACTCGCACTTCTTATACATTCACGGAGGCGGGCACCCTGTCCGCTTCGATCCTCTCACCCCCCCCGACAGGTCGAGAGAAATAACGTTGAAGTGGAAGAAGCAGCGACCCGGCGTTGGCGGAGGGGAAGTGGAGGGAGTCCCGTTTGCTTCGGTTAGCTGTGAAGCTCTCCTCTTTCATTTGATCCCCACGTTTCTTTTAGAGAAGTCCCGAGCAGCAATATGTGCACATGTATGTGTGTGTGTGAGTCTTGACATCACAAGAGAGCTCTGAGCCCCGGTAATCGAATTCGGGATCATGTGATTGGACGCGACAAGGGGAACAGGGCGGAGAGCCATTTACCTGCTTGATGTCCCGCCGGTCTCTCACGCTCACGCTCACCATACAAAAGCACGCGTGTCTCCATTTTTAGAATTCTTAACCAGGTCACCACAAGGAAAAAAAAACAAACAAACCCCAGATCACGTCTACTCTGTGTGCTGTTCACCCATCTGGCCCGATGGAGCTTCTTCCCCGTGGTGCCGTTTTACATGAAACATTCTGCAGCCTCAAAGCCACGTTACTGCCTGCTCAGCCATAATGTGCCATTGTACATGACATCCAAGAGCACGAAGGGAACCACATGTGGAGCACAGTGCCCGCAGGTATATATTACATATGTTACATACTGCACACAACGTGTGTGTGTGTGTGTGCAGGAGAGAGACCCTACTTTACATAGCTCCAGCTGGTCAGTATGAAAGACGGTTAAATACATGCAGTTGATTCAAAAGGCATGCGATTATCCATTTCCTTTCTCCTGTGGGAATGAGCTACCGCTACACAGTGTGTATACACACACACACACACACACACACAAAGGCTTGGCCGGCGAGGGGGCGTGTGTGCGGTGACATCAACAATCTGCTGATTGCATGATATTTAATACTGCAATATGTGGAGTTATTTAGGAAAGTGCTAGTGATAAAAGCGATGAGTGGGGAGGCGGGAAGGAAAGCAACATGAAATGCAACTTTGTGGAGACAAAGTTCTGCACCTCGTGACGTCCGAGCCTCGAGCTCGTCGGCGGTTCCGAGGCCGAATGGATTTCTGCAAAGGAAAAGGCAAAACGAAACACAACGTCGGGGGCTAAGTAAGTATTTGAAGGCGCAGTCAAAGGCTTCCGCCGTCTTTGCCCTCCACCTTTCATCTTTCTCTCATCCCTCCCTCCCCGCTCTCATTAGCAATGGCCCGCGCGAGAGGGGGAGAACAAAGCACGGGCCCTGCCAATCGATCAGCCCGCAGCACTATCAATCGACTGGCGGAGCGCAGGTCTCCTCCACCCGCCCGCCGATTGACGGGTCGAAGATTGATGGGGGAGATTGTTGTGTCTCCGTGCGCGCCTGTGTGTTAATGCAGCGGAGAGCGCGCCTTTGTTCGAGATAGATTACAGGCCGTTTTAATCTCGCCTTGTTCACCCGTCGCACATTTTAATTTGTACCCGGCCCGACAAAAAAAATAAATGAAGACTGTATCAAGAGAACGCGCGTGAGGTCTGAGCGCGCGAAGGCGCGAGAGCGCCGACGAAGCGCCCCAGACTCTGATAGAAGAAGATGAGTTTATCGGTGGATACTCTTCAGCCGACTTGGCACAGAGTTTCTGCCCTGGCACCAGGAAACACACACACACACACACACACACACACACACACACACACACACACATGGAACAGCGGAATTAAATCATATGCTGGCATGGAGTCCCACTTTACTCTGGCACGGTGCGACTGCCTTTCACTGCCATGACTCATGCCAACGCTCTGATGGATGAATCCTGCAGCGGTGTGAACAAACACGTGTGTGTACCTCAGAATGTTACACTGTGTGTGTGTGTGTGTGTGTGTGTGTGTGTGTATGCATTTTTCGAGGTGTTGTGCAAACATTGGAATAACGTCCCACAACAGGTCGGGTGACTTGCGCCGGGTATTTTTGTCTTCGAAATTTGTGTGAGTCGCTTTGGGAGAGATGCCGCCGGCATCGCCACATTTGCATGAGAGAGGTTGTCGGACTAACACCTTCTCTTGTCTCCCTCCCCTCCCTCCCCCCTCCCCCTCCCTCTCCATCTTCCTCTTGCGTCCCCAGCTCTGATAGCCATAGGCCAGTACAGCAGCACCATTGAGACGGTGGACGCCGGCTGGTGTAAGGACATCACGGACCAGGGAGCCACGCAGATCGCCCAGAGCAGCAAGTCCCTCCGCTACCTGGGCCTCATGAGATGTGACAAGGTAACGCGGCTCGGCCCGTAAAGCCCGGTTTCCTGTCAGTAGTCGTACATAATGAAGAAGAACGGAAACACTTGTCAGATTCATTTTTAATTATCGTTAGTTGCTGCTCTATTTTAAAGCAGTTGGCAGACTGATTGTGCTCAGCGTGTGTTTTTTTGGGTTCGCGACGGCTGTTTAAATGTCTGGCTGCCGTGCAAGTAGGCCTTTGACAATATGTGTCTTACTAATAGTTCATTTGAAAAATAACAAAACAAAATGTCTTTATGCATAATGCATTATGCATGCAAACGTAAATCCAATATGTAGCATACATATCCGCTCAGTGACGCCCACATTGGCTGACACAGTACTTTAAGGAGAAATGTGACATGTAAATGATAGTTGTCATTTTTAGATTTATATTTACTGTACAGTACCAGTTAAAAGTGTGGACACGATTCATTTATATATACATATACACACACATGTGCATATATAGTGGACTCTGGTGCCCACGCATAAACACAGCTACATAATCCCAATCATCCACACGGACCCCCTCCAAAGAGCCAGGCAACGGGCCGACAGAGGGCACCCAGAGGAGCGCGCGTGTGAAGAGGCTAAGCCGCCACCTGTGCCCGGTGCTTCCATGTCATCAGCCTGTCCGCCGACAACTGAAGTAAAGTTACACGATGACCCCCTCTCCAACCCACTAGACTTCGGCTATGATGGACAATCTCCCCAAAGTCACCCCTTGACTCTCATCTGGCCTCTTACCCGTCCAATCACCACCCTGAAGGGGAGCGCGTGCAGTCGTAGTGCCACGGTAACAACTCCACCCGCCTCTCCAATTGGCTCAGCGGTGCTCCTGCCACACAGATGCATCCACTTAGTGTGGGATCGTTCAGCGTGACATGAGTGGGATGAGGGCAGACGAGGCGGGGAGCCCGCTGCCTCCACTGAGAAGCTCCTCTGTGCTGTTGCAGAGGCCGGTTTCTTGTGCCGCGGCCAGATGCACAACACGAGGCCTTAATCTGAATGCTGGTGGGCATGCTGAGCGTACAGCACGTTTTAATAAGCCTTTTTTGTTTTCAGGTTGGGTTTCGCATTCGGGTTTTGGGCTAAAACTAATTTAGACGCCCCTGCTGCGCTGCAAAGAAAAATGCAAGTTGGCAGGAGAGGGAATGAGGTACGAGAGCCGTTGACTTATAGTCGAGGCCTCTCACCAGGTTGGGAACTCATCATTTTTATTCCTACAGTATAAAACCCTGCATGGCGCGGCCTAGAGGTTGACCCTATGGATTTTCCCCCGATAAAAAGGCCCGCCCAGAGATCGTTAAGCGGGGCAAGAACGCCGGTGTATCATATTTATCTATTTATGCCGTAATGAAATTAGAGCATGCGAGGTGGTCCGTGGGTGAACCCATATGTAAGGTCCCGGTGATGAAGCGGCGCGCTCGAGTCACATTACTGCAGACACGAATGCGTATCTATCATATTTATCCAGGAGTAATAAAGAGTAACTGCATTACATAGCAGGTGATCACTTAGATCCCATTTTCATCTGCTTCCCCGCTGCCTCGGCGACTTAGTGACCCAACAATCGATACCTGCAGCCGTGTTAATAAAAAATCTGCTCCGGAACGACCCACATCTTCACTGGAATAACAGTTTTATATTCGCTCCTATCCACCGTATTCGCCCTCTCTGCTGCCGACACAGACTCCCCCATCACTGTGCCCTTACTTATCCCTCCGTCTCCTCACGTGCGTTGCTCAGACTCATCGTTTAATCCCGAGGATAGAACGGTAAATAATTGTTCTTCCTCTGCTCTGAAGAGGAGGTGGGGGGGGGATGACGCTCCTAAATGCAGCGGTAATTGGTGCTATTCCAGTTTTAACGGAGGACTTTGACAGATTCCAAGGTCAGCTGCTCTGAGTCAGGGGGGAAATAATTCCCTGCATGACGGTCCCCTTCACCCGTTTCTCCGTCTTCAGTCTCCGCCGTAATCTGCTTTAGCATTGCAGATGAGCCTGCAGTACTCGAGCTGAGCATTGGTCAGGCTTGTACTTTCTTTCATTCGTTGTTGTTGTTGTTGTCGTGTTTTTATATTATGTTAGGCGCGGACGGGAGTTAGATGGAGTCGGGCTTCGGGAGGAGTGGGGGAGAGGAATGGGTGTAATACAACGTCCGCTCGGGGGGGAAACAAATAAACGGGAATAGGCTGTTGTTACCGAGGTCACGGCAAAGGAAATGAGAGCCGCGCAGCGAGTTAGAAGATCATCTACAAGTCAGCCCGGGAGGGGCAGCAGTGACCACGCTCTGCCTTCTCCTCCACCCCTCTCACCCTCCCCGTCCTCGCCTCCGTCCTCACGCCTCCCGCTCGCCCGCTTCACTCGATTTCATGTATCTCACGATTGATTGAAGCTTTTTGCAGCTGGCGCTCCTCTCAGAACCAACTCGATGATGATGAAGGAGGAGGCGGGGGTTGATATCGTTGATATCTTTATCAAATCACATTACTGTCCGAGCGTGTGACTTTCCTGTTGGCTTCGTGGAAGTCAGGTGACTTTGTGAACGTGGGAGTTACACACTGCAAACCCTGACTGAGAGGCGCTTGGCCGGCTGCTCGCTGAGGGAGCTTCCACGGCGCTGTGTCTTTTAAGTGAACTGAATTAGTTGTTTTAAAGTACCAGTAGTGGCGACGCATTCAATTTGATGGTGTGTGTGTTTTTCGTTTTCTTTTCCTGGTTTGCGTTTGACATTTCAGGCCCTCGAATTTGTATCAGGCTTTATTTGTGTACCGCGGCAGTAAAATCCGGAGGCATGTCCAATTCGATCCCGGGGCAAACTAATCTCATCTCTGCACTTAATGCAGTTCTGGGAAGACGCAGGAGCTGGGGGATAACTCTCAATTCCACAACGTTCCCACATAATGAAAGTCTTGTGCAAATTACTTAACTTTGGATTTCTCTCCGCCGCTGCGTCTTGTCCTTATGTTGACAAATCCATTTGGGTTTTGTTTTTTTTTTCCTCCTCCAGCCTCATTTGACTAAGTTGCTTGAGTTTCTCCGTGTGTCCGCTCGTGCCTTTCCTCCCTCAGCCCAGTGTTGACGGCAGGAATGGCCGACGTATAGAAGGTCGGCAGTACTCATCTCATATTTCTTCTTGAGGGTTACATTCTGGGAGAGAAGGTGGGGAGTCCAGGAAAAGCCACACCAGCTCAGAATGTGTTCTCTCGATATAGATGACGCTTTCTCAAATGGCTCCATCACTCTTGGACCGACCAACAACAACATCCATTTGTTTAGCTCAGCCCCAGGATCTACACCCTTGAGGAAACATCTCAATATTTACCCGTTAAACCGGCAACTCTCCGAGCCGGCGTGCTGTCTGTGACAGTCGCCCCAACCTGAAATCATTCTGCATTGCGTACCTGCCGTGAATGTTTCCATTGCCAATATAAATTGTTATACACACATAAACACTTTGTGCTTTGGCAAGTGGTGAGATCTGTGTTGACACTGTTTTGGACATATTGCAAATATTCCCAGAGTTAAGATTTCCTTTTCAAGGGCTTGTTTTTTTTCTGTTCAGGATGTTCACATTGCAGAAGTCTAGGTAGGAGTACCAACGCACGTAGTTACAATATCACGGTGACAGACGGTCATTTAGAGCCTCGTCTGCATTAAGGCGCGCCGACGCCTGTCTGCTTTGCACGTGTCCAGGTCACTCCTGCAGCCCACAAGTGGCTACTTCACATTAATCATGGTCTTACTCTCTCTTTACTTCGTCCTTTCTTCCTAAAAACGGAGTGAGTTTCAGGGAAGGTCAAGGCAGCCGTGGACAAACACGGCCTTGTGATAACCTTGACACACAGCACGGACGAGCCGGCAGGCAGCGCATCTCGCCCTGTACAGCTCGCCATGTGCAGCTCGCCATATGCAGCTCGCCCTGTGCAGCTCGTCCTGTGCAGCTCGCCCTGTGCAGCTCGCCATGTGCAGCTCGCCATATGCAGCTCGCCCTGTGCAGCTCGTCCTGTGCAGCTCGTCCTGTACAGCTCGCCATGTGCAGCTCGCCGTATGCAGCTTGCCCTGTGCAGCTCGCCATATGCAGCTTGCCCTGTGCAGCTCGCCCTGTGCAGCTCGCCCTGTGCAGCTCGCCATGTGCAGCTCGCCATGTGCAGCTCGCCATGTGCAGCTCGCCCTGTGCAGCTCGCCCTGTGCAGCTCGCCCTGTGCAGATTTGTTTGGAGTTGTCAAAAACGCCGGGAATTTTAATGCACCGGCTTCCCCGAATGTCACAGGACTTAGAAAGTGTAGAATTTGTTTTAAGAGCTGTTAACGGGATCCATCTGGCGCTCCTCATGTGGAGCAGTGTGAAGGATCGATTTCCTCCGTCACAGTTTATACAAACATGCTCCCGTACAGTATGTATTTTTCCTGAGAAGAAAGGAGAATTTGAGATTCATTTGAAGAAAAACGTTTTTAACGCTGTACAAACAGACTGAGCCTCAGCCCGGATCAGTGGGTAGATTTGATTGTTAGAATATTTTCTTCTACAGACTGTCCTTTCAGAAGCTGGATGAGATTCATGTTGTGCTAGTGCGGTGTGTGTGTGTGTGTGTGTGTGTGTGTGTGTGCGCACGCCTTTGTCCCAATTTACTTTTCTTCTCTCCTGCTCGTCTCAAGGATTTGCTTTGTGTGTCAGTGTGTTTACGTGCGCTCAAATGCGGCGTGTCCGCGTGTAAAAGTGTGTGTTCTCCGAGAGGAATGTATGTTATTTGCTGTGAACACGGCTCATAATGGAGCATTGAAATCAGAGCCCCTCCAGGCCCGGGCGGATGGCGTGCTCCGCCTGCCTCCAATGATTACACCCCTCCGCCCGCAGGGCCAAACCAGCCCCGTCTGACGGTGGGGGGGGGGTGGGGGGGGGGGAATGCGATTGATCCAGACTCACCCAAAATATAATCAAATCAATTCATTTCGAGCCTTTTCAGCTTTGAGTCAGTCAGTCATTTGA